AAAGTTCTCACAAATTTAGTATTTGACTCACTGTGTAAATTGTTAAAATACTTTCTGCTTCAATTTGGTTATAATAATTTGTGATTTCTTGGACGTGATTGTAAATATTGCATAATAAAATTGTTGACCTATCTAGTATTTGAGCCAATATGTAAACTCTTGAAACAAATCCCAGATCCTTTGGAGAAATGAATTTTTTTACTTCTGTATCAATTTGGGGTATAATTTTTGTGCATTTCTTGGACGTGAGCGTTTAACTAATGTAATAAAATGCTCGAAAAATTTAGCATTTGAGCCAATTTGTGAATTGTTAAATCAAATCCCAGATCGTTTGCAGAAATGAATTTTCCACTTCTGTATCAATCTGGGGTATTTTTTGTGCATTTCTTGGACGTGATTCTTAACTTGCGTAATAAAGTGCTCGACAAGTCTAGCATTTGAGCCACTATTTGAATTGTGGAATCTAATCCCAGATCCTTTGCAGAAATGAATTTTCAACATCTGTATTAATCCGTGGTTTGTTTTGTGCATTTCTTGGACGTGAATATGTGACTAGCTTACTAAACTGCTCGACAAACCTAGTATTTGAGCCACATGGTCATTTTTTGAATCAAATCCCAGATCCTTTACAGAAATGATTTTTTCACCTCTGTATCAATTTGGGGTATATCATTTGTGCATTTCTGTGACGTGAGTGTTCAACTTGCGTAATAACCTTTTCCACAATTTTAGTATTTGACTCATTGTGAAAACTGTTAAAATACTTCCCAGATTTTTTACAGAATTGATTTTTACACTTCTGCAGCATCAGTTTGAGCTATTTAATATGTGCATTTTGGATATGATTGTTAACTTGCGTAATAAAGTGCCCGACAAGTCTAGCATTTGAGCCACTATTGGAATTGTGGAATCTAATCCCAGATCCTTTGCAGAAATGGATTTTCAACTTCTTTATCAATCTGGGGTGTTTTTTCTTTTTTTCTTCGACGTGGATGTTTAACTAGGGTTATAAAATGCTCGGCAAATCTAGCATTTGAGCAGCCACTTTGTGAATTGTTAAATCAAATCCCAGATCCTTTATAGAAATGATTTTTTCACCTCTGTATCAATTTGGGGTATGTCATTTGTGCATTTCTTGGACGTGAGTTTTTACTTGCGTAATAAAGTTCTCCACAAATTTAGTATTTGACTCACTATGTTAACTCTGAAAATACTTCCTAGATTTTTGACAGAATTGATATTTACACTTCTGCAGCATCAGTTTGAGCTATTTTATTAGGGACTTTTTTGGACGTGATTGTTAACTTGCGTAATAAAGTACTCGATAAAACTAGTATTTGCCCCACATTATAAACTGTTAAATTACTTCCCAGGTTTTTCGCAGAAGTGAGTTTTCCACTTCTACAACAGCCTGGGCTATAAAATTTGTGCATTTTTTGAAGCTAATTGTAAGTTTTGCATGATAAAATGCTTAACTTATCTAGCATGAAAGCCACTGTTAAAACAAAACCCTGATCCTCTGCAGAAATGATTTTTTTTATTTGTGTATCAATGTGGGGCATTTTTTTGTGCATTTCATGGACGTGAAAACTTAACTAGCGTAATAAAATGCTCGACAAGTCTAGCATTTGAGCCACTATTTGAATTGTGAAATCTAATCCCAGATCCTTTGCAGAAATGAATTTTCTACTTCTGTATCAATCTGTGGTTTTTTTGTGCATTTCTTGGACGTGAATATGTGACAAGCTTACTAAACTGCTCGACAAATCTAGTATTTGAGCCACATGGTCAATTTTTGAATCAAATTCCAAATCCTTTACAGAAATGATTTTTTTACCTCTGTATCAATTTGGGGTATATCATTTGTGCATTTCTTGGACGTGAGTGTGCAACTTACGGAATAAAGTTTTCCACAAATTTAGTTTTGACTCATTGTGTAAACTGTTAAAATACTTCCCAGATTTTTTACAGAATTGATTTTTACACTTCTGCAGCATCAGTTTGAGCTATTTAATTTGTGCATTTTGGATATGATTGTTAACTTGCTTAATAAAGTGCCCGACAAGTCTAGCATTTGAGCCACTATTGGAATTGTGGAATCTAATCCCAGATCCTTTGCAGAAATGAATTTTCAACTTCTCTATCAATCTGGGGTGTTTTTTTCTTTTTTTTTTCTTCGAGGTGAATGTTTAACTAGGGTTATAAAAAATGCTCGGCAAATCTAGCATTTGAGCAGCCAATTTGTGAATTGTTAAATCTAATCCCAGATCCTTTACAGAAATGATTTTTTCACCTCTGTATCAATTTGGGGTATATCATTTTTGCGTTTCTTGGTCGTGAGTTTTTACTTGCGTAATAAAGTTCTCCACAAATTTAGTATTTGACTCACTATGTTAACTCTGAAAATACTTCCTAGATTTTTGACAGAATTGATATTTGCCTTCTGTAGCATCAGTTTGAGCTATTTTATTAGTGAATTTTTTGGAAGTGATTGTTAACTTGCGTAATAAAGTACTCGATAAAACTACTATTTGCCCCACATTAAAAACTAATAAATTATTTCCCAGGTTTTTCGCAGAATTGAGTTTTCCACTTCTACAACAGCCTGGGCTATAAAATTTGTGCATTTCTTGAAGCTAATTGTAAATTTTGCCTGATAAAATGCTTAACTTATCTAGCATGTAAGCCACTGTTAACTGTTAAAACAAAACCCTGATCCTCTGCAGAAATGATTTTTTTAATTTGTGTATCAATGTGGGGCTTTTTTTGTGCATTTCATGGACGTGAAAATTTAACTAGCGTAATAAAATGCTCGACAAGTCTAGCATTTCAGCCACTATTTGAATTGTGGAATCTAATCCCAGATCCTTTGCAGAAATGAATGTTCAACTTCTGTATCAATCTGTGGTTTTTTTGTGCATTTCTTGGACGTGAATATGTGACAAGCTTTTTAAACTGCTCGACAAATCTAGTATTTGAGCCACGTGGTCAATTTTTGAATCAAATCCCAGATCCTTTACAGAAATGATTTTTCACCTCTGTATCAATTTGGGGTATATCATTTGTGCATTTCTTGGACGTGAGTGTTCAACTTACGTAATGAAGTTTTCCACTAATTTAGTTTTGACTCATTGTGTAAACTGTTAAATTACTTCCCAGATTTTTTACAGAATTGATTTTTACACTTCTGCAGCATCAGTTTGAGCTATTTAATTTGTGCATTTTGGATATGATTGTTAACTTGCGTAATAAGGTGCCCGACAAGTCTAGCATTTGAGCCACTGATGGAATTGTGGAATCTAATCTCAGATCATTGCAGAAATGAATTTTCAACTTTTTTTATCAATCTGGGGTATTTTTTTTCTTTTTTTCGTCGACGTGAATGTTTAACTAGGGTTATAAAATGCTCGGCAAATCTAGCATTTGAGCAGCCACTTTGTGAATTGTTAAATCAAATCCCAGATCCTTTACAGAAATGATTTTTTCATCTCTGTATCAATTTGGGGTATATCATTTGTGCGTTTCTTGGTCGTGAGTTTTTACTTGCGTAATAAAGTTCTCCACAAATTTAGTATTTGACTCACTATGTGAACTCTGAAAATACTTCCTAGATTTTTGACAGAATTGATATTTGCCTTCTGCAGCATCAGTTTGAGCTATTTTATAAGGGAATTTTTTGGACGTGATTGTTAACTTGCGTAATAAAGTACTCGATAAAACTACTATTTGCCCCACATTAAAAACTAATAAATTATTTCCCAGGTTTTTCGCAGAATTGAGTTTTCCACTTCTACAACAGCCTGGGCTATAAAATTTGTGCATTTCTTGAAGCTAATTGTAAGTTTTGCCTGATAAAATGCTTAACTTATCTAGCATGTAAGCCACTGTTAACTGTTATAACAAAACCCTGATCCTCTGCAGAAATAATTTTTTTTATTTGTGTATCAATGTGGGGTTTTTTTTGCGTCTTTCTTGGACTTGATCATTTAGCTAGCCTAATAAAGTTCTCGAAAAATCTAACATTTGAGTCACCATGTGAATTGTTAAATCAAATCCCAGATTCTTTGCATAAATGTTTTTTCCACTTCTGTATCAATCTGGGGTTTGTTTTTTGTGTGCATTTCTTGGACGTGAATATATAACTAGAGTAATAAAATGCTCGACAAATCTAGCGTTTGAGCCACTTTGTGAATTGTTAAATCAAATCTCAGATCCTTTGCCGAAATTAATTCTAACTTCTTTATCAATTTGGGGTAGATTTTTTGTTCATTTCTTGGTTGATGAGTGTCTAACTAGCATAATAAATTGCTCGAGAAATCTAACATCTAACTATGTGAATTGTTAAATCAAATCCTAGATCCTTTACAGAAATGGTTTTTCCTTTTCTGCATCAATCTGGGGTATATTTTTTGTGCATTTCTTGGACGTGAATATTTAATTAGCGAAATAAAAGATAAATCTAGCATTTGAGCCACTTTGTTAATTGTTAAATCAAATCCCAGATCCTTTGCAGAAATGAATTTTCCACTTCTGTATCAATCTGGGGTATATTTTTTGTGCATTTCTTGGACGTGGTTGTTTAACTTGCGTAAAAAAGTGCGCGACAAATGTAGTATTTGACTCACGAAAGTTTTTTAAAAACTTCCCAGATCCTTTGTAGAATTGCTTTTTCCTTTTAGGCGTCAGTTTGGGTTATTTATTTGTGATTTTCTTGGAATCCCCCCTACCTGCACACCTCAAGTCACTATCACTTGAAATTGTGTAGCGCATGACTTTACGACGTTAAGTATGAAAACCAAGTGTGTTTCGAATAACCTGAATAGTCAGTCGGCTCACAATTCGGGCTCGCTGTCCGATTTTGTTAATTGGACAGTATGAGCTTACGTTACAAAAACATTCGCAGTTGGAGGATGAGGAATTAGGTTCAAATCTTTAACTAGCTCGTTTTTATGCGCTTAAAAATATTTAGTTTGAAATTTATAGTGTTCTACTAATTTTAGAACAAAGAACACGCACCGCCGTTAATCATATCACGCGAACAAGCCATGGTGGAATTCGACAATGTGACTTTTGGCTACATACAAGGCTCAGATCCAATCTGCAACAGGTTGTCGTTCGTAGTACCGTCCAACAAGAAAGTTGCGTTCGTTGGAGGCAGTGGTTGCGGCAAGAGTACCATCATCAGACTGTTGTTTCGATTCTATGATCCCTGGATGGGAAGAATATTAATTAATGGTCAAGATATTCAAGACGTAGATTTAAACTCATTGAGAACGAATCTAGGAGTCGTGCCTCAGGAAACGGTGCTATTTCACAATACGTTAGACTATAATATCCGATATGGGAGCGTAGATTGTTCAGACGAAGAAGTGGTTCGTGCTGCTGAATTGGCTAACTTACATCATACTGTGAGGACATTACCAAATGGTTATCAAACGGAAGTAGGCGAAAGAGGTCTCAAGTTGTCAGGCAAGCAGTACTTTGCATTTTATAAAATTTATAAAATCTAGGCTAATTTTACTTGTTTAGGCCCTGTTTTTTTATTTTCTTCGATTTTTGAATTCAGTAGGCGTGAGCTATAATAATTTTAAAAGCCCAAAATGAAGACGAAAACTTGTCCTTTTTAGATTCGATGAATGTAGCTAAGACTCTTATATAGGTCTTGATGATTTTTTTCAGGGCAATTATTTACGCTAGCGAGCAGCTAGTGTTTTAGTACGAACCTTCTTTTGTTCTAATCTAACTCGCAAATAAAATTGTTCATTAAAAATGTTCTCTTTTGTGCCTTTTTGATATAATCCCGATCTGTAACATTGGAAATTTAATAGCATCTGTTCTCGGCTTTACTTGTGGCTAGTATTTGTCATAGACTAAGCGTCCGTGGCTGAGTGTTGAATGTGTGAGGCGCAAACATTCTGGGTCGCAATAGGTCATAGGTTTGAGAGCCAGATGTCGCCGAGTTTCTCCTAAGTCAAGGCATATTTTTACCTTTTCTTATTCCACTTTTTAGAAATCTAGAGCTGCTTTTTGTCGTGTTCTCGCTAACGTTTGCGAAGCGCAAATTCGCCTTTGTGTTTGAATTTTGACTTTTCTTTTTTATAAGCTCGAAACGATTGATTAATGAATGATTTTGGATTCTTCACATTAACCGGCTGTCTTTTTTCTCTGCGGAATTCAGACGACTGCTTTTTCATTGTTAGGAATCTCTCGGCTTATTGATTGGGTTGTCATATTGATCAACCATCTGAAAGTTGATGCTCGATGTTTTGATGTTGAATAAAAAAGATCAATTTTTCTGCTGGAGGATCTGATGACTTGTTCAAGCTGTGATGAGTCACTTATCTCCTTATTTACTCGCTGTTTTACTCATTTGTTTTCTGAACAAGTTATCTAAAATTAACCATTTTGAAATAATTTAATCGCTTTTTTATGATAACCATGTGATTGGTTACATTAGCTAATTTTTGTGAGCGTTAGTGTTATACTTCGAGTATTCTTTTTTTTCTAACCTAAGTCGCAAAAGTTGGTGCCACTTTTAGGGCACTTTACGGCTTTTTGATAGCATGTGCTTGGACATTCGAATAGTAATAAGTTAACACAGTTGATACCTTTTAATTTCATCAAATGAACCGAAAAATGCACTTAAAATCAAACAACACACCAAAAATAAAAACTCGATTTCAGAAATGTTCTAACTCAATATATCTAGCAATTTTCTAAAATGCATAACTTATACATAATGCGGCTTTGCTCTTTCCAATTTATTTCATGCAAAATTAGTGTGGATGCCTTCAGTTTGATATATTCCAAACTATTACTAGCAAAATTGTGTCTATTTGTATTTGGTGACACTTTTGCTGCATCGATTGGCAATTTGTTAGCATATGTAGCTTCTTTATTTGTGACTAGTGTTTGCCGGTTGTTAACCGTTCGTGGCTCAGAAGACTGGGCGTGAGGCTCCAATTTTTGGGTTCGAAGCCCATACGTAGCAAAGTTATACTAATTCGAGGCTTATTTCTATCTTTTCACTTTATAAAGTTGCTTTTTTGTCGTGTTCTCGTTTCGCCTCTGTTGTGTAAAATTTGTTCACGCTCAAATTTGTTTATTTTCGTGGTTTGACATGATTTATTTTTAATTTAGTTTATTTCCTTTGTTAAAAGAAAGGCTAATGACGTATGAAAATAGTAGGTCACTTAATCTGAATAAAATGTCACATTAACTGTCATTTTAAAGTTCAAATGTAGTGTAAACAAAAAAAATTCGGGTCATGTTTTCTTAATTTAAGTACAGCTCGAAGTTTTTAAACAGCTCGAATCACGACTGAAAGAGTTTATTAATCAAATATCACCGATTTCGTACGACGTGTGTGTGTGGTACCTGATTTCGCACGGGTAAAATACTACCCACACTCGAGTAGAGTGATCCTTCGAACGTGTAATCATCGACAAAAGTAGATGAATAATTGTATGAATGAATGATTGCGCCTGGTAAATAAAATGAATCAGGTATGTTTGTTGCTATTTTGTGGCTTGTAGGCGGCGAGAAGCAGCGAGTGGCAATTGCGAGGTGCATGTTGAAGAATCCTCCAATTCTGCTGTTTGACGAAGCCACTTCATCTCTAGACAGCATCACAGAACATGTAAGTGTATCGTAGACTAATTCATACTGTTCATTATAGATACTGAGGTGGAACTTGTTTTTATGATTTTTTTATGATTTTTAACTGACGATCCTTTAAAAATTTCTAGCCAATGTTTACTCAATATTTTTTTAACTGTGAACGGAAAGCCAATAGCCGAATGATTTTTCAACTAATTTTTGGGTGACACATGCTATTTAAGAGTAATGAACTTAGTGAGTACTCTTATATAGGTCTTGCTGATTTTTTTTTATTTTTCGCGGTTTGACTTGTGATTTTGCGATTTCTTTTTAAGTTCAGTGAATTTCTTTTGTTAAAAGGAAGGCAAACTCCCTTATCGAACAGCAAAATTGTAAACATCACGAAAAACGTGATCGAATTCTAATTTCGAAAATGGAAATTTATTATCAGATTTCCCAGCGAAATAAGTTTTACCTATTGATCCAGTTTTCTCAAATTGGGTTAATTTTAACAAAAAAAGTGTCCATCATAAATTGTACCACAAATTCAAAGAGCTTTAAGGCCATCTATTTTTTCGAAATTCAAAAGTTAAAGATTTTTGGGAAAAAAAAACAAGTTTTTTTTTCAGTTTCCTTGCGTTCATTACTCTTTTCCAACTGTCAGTTGGCTATGTTTGAGATTTTCTCTCGGTGCGCACGTGTCTCAATTTTATCTGGTCCAAAATGAAGATTTTTGTTTTTGATTGTAATTTGTTTGCCATAGTGTATTGGGTTTTGATGAGTGTCGTGTGGTTGTAGAGCATCATGCAGGCGATTGAGCAGTTTTCGGCCAGTCGCACTTCTCTGTTTATTGCACACAGACTGTCCACCATCGCGGACTCTGATGAGATCAATGTGTTGAGTGGGGGCGGGATAGTGGAGACAGGCAGCCACCAGTCTCTCCTGATGGATGACTCGTCCTATTACTCTAAACTGTGGCACAGCCAACACTGAAATCAATGAAACTCCAATAATTAAAAAAAATTATTATATTGAATTGATTATTTTGCACACCAATTGAAAAGCAGCGAAAAGATGTGAATGGCATGATGATTTTTTTGGAGCATCATGTTTCTAATATCAGACTTTGAGTTCTTATTTCGATGGTTTTTCTAGGATCTGGTCTCATGATTCCCATCCATTCATAACCTAGAAAACGCAAACAAAAGGATTAAAACCATGCCAAAATACTTGCGAAGAGTTGCTGCAAAAATTGGCATTGAAAACTGGAGAAGTGAGCTGCTTTTTATTGTTCAGTCAAAATGGCAAAACGGACTGAAACAAAGAATTTGTACAGATTTTGAATTGTATTTGAGTAAATAATGACCTAAATTGAATACATTTTATTTCAGTTCGAAGTCTCCTTCTCTTAACGATTGGCATGTTGGATATCCTTTGACTGAAAAGTGCAGAGATGAAAATTGTTAATTAAGGAGTAAAAGTGCTAAGCAAATGGAAACAGCTGCTGTGCTTGTTTGCTCGCCATACAACAAGCCTCAAAAAATCAATGGCATCGCTTTGAAACAAAACTAAGCCAATCTGTGAAATTTTCAAACGCTTCATGTAGTTTTTTACCTACCTCTCAGCAGTCAAGTTACTAATTGTAAGTGAAGAAAATTTCTGAAATTATTATAGATGTTAAAAACAGATTCTTTTTTAATCACTTAATATTGAAGATTTAACAATCGCTTACCGCTTCCGAAGAAAATTCCAGCATATTGAAACAAAATTAGGTCCGGGATGTCATTCAACGAGGACCGAGTGATATCTACAATAGTTAAAATTGGGTTCGTCGGTTTTATAGTGTTACTGGGGTATGCAGTGTATTTCTCCCTAAAAAAGTACTGGGGTTCGACACGACGACAGTCAGATAACTCTATTCTAGTCCCAGATATAATGGTACAACCTGCAGCCGAGAAACAGATATCGGCATCGACTCTGACAGTTGAGACGAATGCAAATTTAGCCGAACAGGGAAAGGAAAATTAGAAGGAATGTGATGCCTAAAAAACTTAAAACTTGTTTTTTGGGATGGGAACTAGAGAATGTTGGATAGTTTAGTTAGTTTACGAGTTGAATTGATCGCATCGCATATGAGAGATTTAGCAGCTCTAATAGACAAATTTTTGTATAGCACATAGTTTTCGACTCATCGTGTGAGCAAAGTTCTGAGAGCAAAAACCGATCTATTGTCGACAAACCATAACCAGATAACCAGCACGGTTTACTTGCGTTCTCATGATCGGTTCATGCTGGGCGTGTGCAAACCAGTCCGTTTGACATTGATCTGTTATCAGAAATTATAAGTAAATGCAATGGACACGAAGTAAGTTACCCTTGCTGCGATGTACGCGTGTCCGTAAAATTGATAGCTTTTGAAATTAACTGAATTTGGAATTTCTCGGGTATAACTTTTTTCAAATCTGAAATGATCGGAGTAGGTATTCATATTTATTACCATGGGCGGATTTAGAAGGGGGCGGACGACCCCCCCCCCCCCCCCTCAGGGATTCGAACCCCTGCCGAGTTAAAGGCTCCCCTCTTTGTACTATTTTGAGATATCCATTTCTGGTAACGGACCATAAACTTTTTCTGAGGCGCCAATGTATACTAAATATGAGTGGAGAACGCGCGCCAAAAGAAAACGAGTATTTTTTGGTCAAAATTTCTAAAAAGTGCCTAACAAGGCCTTTTTCGGCCTGTTTTTTCAAAATTTAGCCTGCGGTGCAGAAATTTTGGCCAAAACAGTCTTTGTAGAGCTTTGGGAGTACCGACCCCCCCTCCCTCGAGAAAATCCTGGATCCGCCTGTCGTTTATTACACTTGCGAGAGCAAGTTTCTTGTTATCGGGAACTAGCATTCTGTTTTGAGTAAAATGGACCTTGTGTTTTTCAGCATGTACGCAATTAATTTTTTTTCTGAAAGTTCTATTGTCGGATTTTCGTTTGTCTGCTCACGGTTTGTCGGCTAAATTGAAACATCGCGGATTTTTCTTGAGCTGTAAGATGCTTTAATTGTACTTGCAATTGCAAGTGTTGTCTTTTGTAGTTTTAGTTTGTACTTTCAACGTGAAAGATTTTTTATAACACTTTTTTTTCAGCTGATCTTGTGTCTGCTGAGAGTGTCGACTTTCTTCTTCATAAGTTTTGTTCTGTCGGTAAAATAAAATGCAAATGTTTGGCTTAATTGACCTGATATCGAGATAAAGTAAAATAAAAATTTTATAAAATCACATGGCAATAAGTTGGTGAGTTATCGAGTAAATAGTTTTAGCGTAACTTTTGATCGACTGAGAAAAAAAAAACAAAACGGGCGTTTTTGAGGCAAAATTTTTGGCCCAATTTTGGCAAAACACATGGCACCATGTTAATTTTGTTAAAAGTTCAGGCAAAATTGGTCTTCGTCGTTTTTTTTTGTCTAAAATCATCCCAATTTGAGAAAAAGGCGTCATAAATTTCAAGTTTCCTGAATGTTAAACTAAATTAGTTCTGTAAACGCAAATAAATAAACAAGCTCGAATATCCAACTTCGGGTTAACAATTTGTTTAACAGAGTCACTTGGTATCGTACTTCTTATGAATTCAAATTCCTAAGCGTCCCCGCAAACTTTGTCTGGAGGCAACGTAAATGCCTGGGACGGCAAAGGTCCTGGGTTCGAATCTGACAAGGACATGTTTTTTGTTCAAACGGGAATTTCTCCACTTCAAAAAATTGTCATTTATTATTTGTCTGCTCATGTTTTGTCGACCTAATTGCGACATTTTAAAATTATTTTGCATTATCTAGATTTCACTGTAGTTGCTTTTATTTTTTCTTTCACTCCTGCGATCAATAATTCTACTAGACTCACTTCGTATATTTTCTTCTTACTTCGCGTAAAAAATTTTTTTGGCCTAAATGATTTTGGCATATATTTTATTGGCTCACTCTCCTATTTTTTGGATCGATCGAGGTAACCATACTTTGTATGGTTTCCTCTGGGTTGCACAAAACTTTGAAACTCAAAACATAATTTTTGTTTTTGAAATTTTTCATGACGACAATTTTATTTTCGCTCAAAAAATATTTTTTTGAATTGTTATTAAGCGCCGTCGAATTTGTTTCTAGACGTGTTTTTGTAAATATAAAATCATTCCAGGCAAATTTTGAGGTTTTTTTGTGGTTTCTTGGAAACTTTTATTTTTTTAGGATTTGTTTTCTGCTGGCTTGCAATGCCATTTTTGTGATGTCGCAAGTGATGCGAAGCCCCGCTTCGATTCTCTGTTTTATTGGGTTTATGGGTTAATTTATCCGGCATAAAAAGTTTTCTGAGCTGAATTAAGGAGGGAAGTTGGGCCTTACTAATGTGTTATTGGCGGCGATAATCTTTCACTTTGTACTAAACATAATTTGGAAAGTTGTACATTATTTGTAGGGCAGATTATTTTCATAGCGATTGAAAAAAATTGTGCAAAGTCAAATTGATTTTGGTTTATCAATTATTTTGCGTCAAAAACTATCAGAACATCAAAGTTCTCTTTCAAATTTTTCATCAGTTAAAAGAAAAATTTTCTCTAATTTGGCTTGTGGTTGCGGATTTCAACCTTGCCTTAGTGCGTTGGGTTGCCCCTGTTATCAGTAGGCAAAAACAATATGTATCCGCATTTTGAAAATGGAAAATAGTAAAACTAAATGAGTAAAGGTGTTTTTAAATGCTAAATTGGTTACCGCAAAAATGGAAATTAATTTCTAGCGATAAACCAATTTAGAACACTCTTAAAGGTTAAGAACTCCCTCCAAAAACCCGCTAATCTTTAGAACCCTCTCAGATTGAATTGATAATTTCAAAAAAGGAAGGTCCCATTCAGACAATTTGTACGCGATGAATGCAACAGTTGCTCTTCGATTATACGAAAAAAAGTTTTAATTCCAGTTTAAATTTTAGTTAATGCGCTCTTATTAACCAGTTGGTAAAACATCTTTCAAAATCTTTTCGACGCTATTAAAAACTCTTTTAAAAAATCTTTAAAAAAACGAAAAAATGCAGACCAAAAATTTTCTTCATTTTTTACCGCAAAAGACTTTAAACAAAAATCAAAAATTAAAAAAGCAATCTTTTTTAAAAGTTACATATTTTTTTGTTTAGGCTGGCGATTAGCAAGCGTTATCAAACTAGAATGTAGATTCTTTTTCTGGTTAACAATTTGTTTAACAGAATCTCTTGTATTTTGGTTCACAATGAATCCCAATTTCTACGCTTTCCCGACGAACTTAGCCTGGAGGTAACGAAAATGTCTAGGACGACAAATGTTCTGTATTGCAATCTGACCAGGATCTGTTTTTTGTCAAATGGTAAGAATTCTGTGTCGAATAAACGTGTCGGCCAGTGATTTGTCTACTTATCTATTGCCGGCTTAGTTGTCACATCTTAAATCTTGAAATCACTTTTTTTGTTTTTGGTGCTTGATTCACTCCTACAATTTTTGTTTTTAGTTAGCTTCACTTCGTATTTCCTTTTTTTTTGTTTCGCATAAAAAAATGCCGCTGCTCGAATTTTTTGGCCTATTTTCAATCAACTTAATGGCCTTAATTTGATGTTGACCCTATCAACTTAGTTTGGTATTTATGTGCGCCTGCATTCTTCCCTGGTCCCTTGCTGCTTAACCCTTTCTCTACAGCCTTCGACAAAGTCTGCGGGGAAATGTTTGACCAAAATTTTTGATTTTTTTTCGTTTTTATGAAAAAAACCTACGGAATTGAGATTTTGATTTTGATAAATAGAACAATTTGAAGCTCACCTACAGAAGTGGCTACGCCAAGACTTTATTACACATAAATTTATGGCCTTAGGAATAATCAAATTTTTGATTTTGTGAACGTTTTTTGAATTGTTTTTAACTTTTCTCAAATTTAGTCTTCCAAAACTGAGGTTTTGGGTTAATTGGAGATTACGGGTAGTGGGGAGTTTCCTCGAATTAGCGGCCACTTACATTTTTTTACACAAAATTATCCTCCTCGTAAGAAAAAACAACAAAGAATGTCCAAACGGCTTTATAACTGGCAATGCCGTTTATGAAAAAACTTATGGCCGTCAAACAAGTCGAATTTAACTTTAAGCGAAAACTGCCGTGCCAATCCTCAGGTTGCGTTCATTCGAGAAACCCGGTCTTGAGATTATTCTCTGCTTAAGCGGAAACAATCTGCTCTTTGCAAGAAAAATTTATGGATTTTGAAATCCAATTGTCAGTTTTTGAAACCTTTTTGAATTTCTTTAAATTTTACTCAATCGAATCTGAGATGAAAAGCTCAACTGAAAGGTCTGGTTGCGATAATGGTTTCTGCAGAAGCGGCGGCTCGTTAATTTTTTGTGTCATCAATTT